GATCAGGCCACCGAAGATCACCATCATGATCATGATCGGCAGCAGCCAGAACTTCTTGCGCTCGCGCATGAAAGCCCAGAGTTCGACAATAATGGAGCCCATGGATCGGTCCTTTCGGAATCAGAACTGGTTGCGCATGGATTGCGGCGACGGCCCCGGCGGGCTGCGCTCGATCCAGTAGGTCTTGGCGCTGGGATCGAGCTTCTGCCGCAGGAAGTCCTTGCCGAACGCGCGCATGATCAGGCCGATCGGCATGATGGTGACGAAGAACAGCAGGCCGAGGACCAGCGGGTTCATCACCTTGTAGAGAAGAAGGCCGAACTTCAGCCAGAGCCGGTTCAGCGGGCCGAGCGCTTTCGGATAGACGAGCGCCACGACCAGAAAGGCCGCCGCAACCGGCAGCATCCACTTCCAGGCCGCGCCCTGCTCAGTTCCGTGGCGCCACAGGTTGATCGCGCTCAGGATTCCGAAGAAACCCGCGAAAACGAACCCGAAGCTGCGATCGGAGCCCGCCTTGACGTGCTCCTCACGCGAATAATCCTCATGAAGCTGGCTGGTCGCCATTGTCCCAAGCGTTCGTTAGTTGATTTGGGGCCCTTAACTCTCTGATCCCAAACGCCAAGTCAATCGGCGACCAGCAGAGAATGGCTATTCCGCCGCAACCGAGGCGAAGCGGTGCGACAGGAGCGCCTCCAGCGTCATCCGCCAGACGGCGGCCGCCCGCTCGAAGCTGAGGTTGTCCCGGCGACGCAGGACGATCCAGGCGTCGAGGGACAGGGCGCGCCGATCGCGTCCGCCAGCTCCTCGCGGGCCTGCTCGCCCAGATTGGCGAATTCCGGGGCGAAGGTCTCGAACGTCGAGTCGCGCAGCTCCTGCTTGAAGGCCTGGCCGCGCTCGATCAGGGCCGGATGGCCCACGAACTGGCCAGCGGCGACGCGCAGCGGAACGATCTTGTCGAACGCTTCGGCCAGGCTCTGGACGACAGAGGCGATCCGGTCCGACAGCGGGCGGGTGTTGGCCGTCGGCGGCGGGACGACGATGTCCTGACGGATGGCATCCATTACAGTTACGAAAGTGACTCGACGTCGCCGAAGTGCTGGAAGACCGACCGGACCGAGACATCGGCCCGGCGCGCCAC